TTTCTTTTCCGGAACAGGAAGTCAGCCTGAATGTTGTAAGGCGTGGCTGGCAGCAAAGTGTTAAGATGTCCTCTTACTCCTCGAAACCCGTACACAAATAACACACGAGGACAAAAGTGCACTAGAGTCGGTGTTCCAAATCTTGTTCTTAAAAGAACTCTTCGCAGCAAACGCGTTTTCCAACCGAGTCCAGCATTTATTTCCCCAGAGGGTGCTCGAATTGGCAAGAGAAATGTTTATTTAGTTACTTCATATCTACCTGTTATCCAAAACATGAAGATTTGTCATTTGCCAAGGGCAAAAGATCTCACAGGATTCTTAAGTGAAAATGAAACTGATTCACGTCATCAGTTCAAAAACTATTGATGGCCGCTATCAGTGGTACCACAAAATGCGCTTTATCTTACAAAGAAACTAAAGATTTCGCCAGCATTAGTAATTTTGCGAAGGAAAATCAAAGGTCAGAACTGCCTTCACCGACAAAAAATCTGCTCCAAGAAAAATGAAATGTGGAAACATCATTTTAAAACCGTCGTATCAATCTCCAACGCTAATGCACTCATTCGTCGTGCTCATGATGAAAACTTATTCGTAATTATTAATTCAATGAATTATAAAAACACTGTTCATTGGGCATTTGACAGTCGGAAGCCAAGGCCTCTTAAGAGACAGATGCAATGTTGAGGCACAAGCAACTCACTTATTGGCTTAACTTCGTGACCAAAGGAATGTTTCTTTTGTGTGTGACGTGGTACTTAATTAAGCACCAGCGAAAACTTTGCCTTTGGGACCTCACTCCTCGCTCTACAATCTGTTCAAACATTATTTGTTGGTTATCGCAGTAATGACAATAAGTTCCACTGAACCACACGCAGCTGCAGGGCATAGCGACTCTGTGCCTCGCGCGTCTGAATGAGCCTCGGGGTGATGTCCGTCATCTCGTTAAAGTAGAAGGGCAATGCAGTGCAGATTTGTCTGAAGGTCAAGGTCGCTATCTCCCACCCAACCACACAAGCGAAATATCAAACAAACAAAAGCAGGACCCGAAAAAAACCTTTGTTACCGACGATAAGTTTTCGTGGGTCAGTTTATGGAATTCAGAAGGCGGACCGCCCACATTCCTTTAACATCAGCTCACGATTTACAAAAGAGGTAGACAACATATAAAAAGTAGCGATTCTGGAGTAGACGTCAGAATTTGAACTTTGCCCTTTGAGAATGGTAGTCAAGCCTTTCATAGACCTCGAAGGTTCACTGCCGTGTTCACAAAAGCCCACTCCTCTTCAACTGAATCCGCTTAATCCAGTTCACACCCTCCAACCAAGACCTCGGAGAACCAATTTATAATTTTCGTGCCATTTGCGTCAATGTCTGAACTTCTGAAAGGTTTTTCATAATATTTTATATTAAATACATACATAATTTTTGATAACACCAGACACTTGACACTTCACATAAGAGCTGCAAGCGTTTTTTGTGCAGATGTCGAATTCCCAGCCAGTCGCGAAACCACATGGAGTCTTCCCCACAGAAAGGTCAATTCCCGAAGGTCAAAGTCTGGCGAACCCGCCAAAATGGTTACGCCATTTGTACATTTCCTAACTTGTTCTACTATTTTCCTTTTGCTATTACGCCTGTGTGATGTTTCATTATTCCACTCATAAATTTAATAAAATCTCAAGAAACACAGCGGACCAGGAACATCCTGACTTCAGGGCGTCGGACGCTGCTTGAAGACTGGAAGACTCGAAGTGAAGTAATCACTTCTTTTCAATCAGCTGTTATACACAGGACTTACCGATAATGAATCGATATATCGGTTTCAGATAGCACCCACCGTTTCTCTGGGATACGGGAATGCTTATGTCCACAACGTTCGAGCTTCCTCCGACAGCATTTTTCAATAAATCGGCTGTTGTTTATCTCAGACCTTTTATAAAGTTTGCAAAGACAGACCTGGACAACTTCTGCACTTCATCGGTAGTCTGGCGAGACAAGTGACGAATGGGAAAAACCCCCCCCCCCAAATAGCACCCCAGACACCGCCACCTTCAGACTCCGTTCACAACTTCCGCTCCTACGAACTTGATTCAAAGATAAAAACATTCCATTTTGCATATTCCTCTTCGTTATGCGTGACGTCGCTATAAAGAGTAGCGTGTCTCTGTTTTTAAGGTGCAGTTCGCCCCGTGTAATGTTTCGTGTAAGACGAGCTCAAGAGCCACATTACCACTTTCAAGAGACCGCATGGCGGATTATTAAACTATTTCATACAGCTTATAAGGCAACCCAAGGAACTGTCAGTGCATATAATTCAATTAAGTCGATAACAATTAGAAAAAAGAACAAATGTTACATCAAATAGCAGTTCAAACATTATAATAAATAATAATATGAAACTTATAAAGAATTGGGAGCAACAGTGGATTAAGGCACATTTTATCAAAATTTATACAAAACATAAACAGTTAAACACGAGTAATTCACATTGTACAATTCTGAAAAATAGAAATGCAACCATTACAAATCGCACGTGACTTCGTATGCAAAAACGGAGGTCGACGGTGACATTCATTATTCACGACTTTCCAGTTGTGGGTTAGTCCACTGTTGCTCTCGGGTCTTCATATAACAGATGCACAATGCATCACTACGACACACCGTAAAATATTAAACACACGGAATGAATGAATGAATAAATAAATAAATAATGGCAAATGAACGCTTATTTCTACTTGTTACATACGTACACTGAATTGCACAGACAAATTTCTTTCTGATTCTTTCAACACAACTTTCGCTACAATGTGACAGAAGCTTCGACAATGCAATGTAAGATACTTTAAGAATGTCGAAAGTAGTTTCCACCTCATTCATTCGCTTTTCCGCGCCTTCTGCACGCCATGGCGGCGCTTGGGCGTGAGAGTTGTAGTTACTACTCGTTCTGGAACTTGGCACTAGATGGGGTGAGTAGTCAGCGTCACGCCTCGACCGAGCTTTGCCCCAGGGGGAAAAGGACCCCGGTACCCATTGAATAGGAGGTTGGGTGGGCCCCAGGCATCACGTGACTCTGCGAGGTTAGGTTACGAGCCCTCGTCTTTAAACGCCAAAACTTTCTTCACAACCATCGGATTGAAAGCGGGATGTGAAGTAATACATCAGAGCACTGTTTGCTGAGCCAGGACGCGAACATAAATCGTGGGGGGGAGCCCCCCGTGAGTATGCCATATCACCTCGCAATACAGTCATCAACGACTGTCTGCCGTCCGGTCAGACTGGCGCCACTGTCGCATTCTCTTGCCTCTGGTTCTTCAGTCTGAACAAAATGACGTCGACAACTGCGCTCTGTTCTATCCTGCCTTAATGGAACATCATCGCTGGCTGTTGTTTCTTACGCAAGCTGCAGAGTTAATGGGATCTCACGCTGCTGGTTGCCTGTCCGTCTGCATCTATGTTTCATGTGAAACAGACACTTGGTGATGGAATTTGGACGTCATGCATGTGGGATGGAATGCGGCAGGTGTTTGATTTGTCTGTTGACAGCGAATGTCTGAATAAGGACAAGGAAAAATAATTTATCAAGGAAGACAGACGAACAACGGTGTCCGAAGTGGAAAAGTTATTTAGCGCCAAATGAGAAAGGAGACTGAACATGTAGGTACAGTTTAACTCTGAGCTAAAAGCGGCCGTGGCCTATCTAAAGACATGCTTACATCTGCCTCTAAAATATCGATAAATCAAAGAGAATCGCTGGCGATTCGAACCTGTTGCCTCATCATTCAGCCAGTCGCTCTTTCAAAACATTCGGCACGTAAACTTTAAACCCCTGAGGAGATTGTTTTATTTTGTTGAAGAGCATTATGGGTTTAAATAATTCACAAACCCGTCTATCCAATTTCTTCATAGGACGTTTCAAAATGAGTGCAATCACTTTGCCATTAATAGTTAAGGACTGCAGCTTGTAATTTGTTTTCTGAGCGAGAACGAAATTATCGACGCGCTGATGGATTGCATGCAGCGGGGCCAACAAGCCAACAGTCCGGGCGAAAGGAGAAACTTGCCGATGTCAGTTTCTTTGATTAATGTTGTTCCGGCCGGCGGAAGCTGAGCTCGCTCCTTTTGGCTACTCAGTCATTCATTCGCGTGTGATGATCACGCGGAATTGGGAACAACACAGGACAAGTGGGCGCTTAAATAGTTGCGTCTCACAAGCACGTGGAACAATGAAGAGACACTGATCTGCTTGCTACAGCTTACACTGGTCGTCGAACATAACAACCTTAAAGTTACCAGCAGTCGCCATGTTCATATATTGCGGAAAAATACAATAGATAAATCTGGCTTTTTTTAGATAGTCTATTTCAAAAGCCGATGTTAAGGATTTCATATCAGACGCTCGCATGGCCATGTTGACAAAACAGATCGCAGAACATTAGAACGTACAATGTCCAACGGTCAATACAAGCTCGATCACAAATCCGATAATCCGCTGAAAGTTTTCAAGAGGCCGGACAGACAGACACACGCGGACACAGGAGCATACAGAAGCGGACATGACGGTGCCACAAAGCCTTCGCTCCTCTCAAAATAAGAAGACAGGTTATAAAAAGAACAGAACTCTGGAAACAAGTATATGAGATGTTAGGTTGACTACACCAATGAGAATCAGAGGGTTGTATGTCGTATGTGTGGGGAAATAAGGAACGCGGACAAAACTTTACTCTACAAATGTTTTGAGGAAACATGTGAGACATGGAGAAGTGGTACGATGACGTCATTAGAACTGATTTTCGGAAAATATGAAATGGCGTCCGGTGGTGGCATCTGGGACGAGGTTCGTGGAAAATGGAGTGAGTCAGTGCTCGGAAAAACCACTTAACAGCCGGAGTACGTCAACCAACCAACCAACCAGTCAGTCAGACTCGTCGAGTCATTCAATCAACCATCCAGCCTCTACCTACTAACTTTTTTCTACGCGACCACTCGGTCCACTCGCCTACCTTGTCCCTTATATCCTGCCTCATCTTCTCTCTCTCCTCCTCCATCTTCCGGTGCTTCTCTTTCCGTCTCTCCTCGGCTTCCCTGATGGCCTCCTGCCTCTCCCTCTCGGCCTCCTCCTCCTTCTCCTTGTCGTCTCCGTCATCATCGCCTCCCACCGCACCTGCAACAACAGTGACGTCATTTCCTGCTTGCACTTCCGGCAAGACCAACACGCATTTGAAGAGGGGATCCTATCAGCCGCGTAATCGTCTATCCCGAAAGGCGCCACGCATCGCGCCCACGTAAAGGCCATAACCCCCACCCCCTAAGAGGATTAGAAAACCACAATCCACAGACAATTCTGAGAAATCACAACAACGGAGAAGCGGAATTAACCCACCTGAAGATGATGACCAATGGCTGGACACTAGCAGCTTGCTGTGCAGTATAAACCAAGAGGGTAAAGGACCACGAATTCAGGCTTGATCCACTAACTGGCTCTCCAAATTACACGGCAAAGTTCAACGGACCTTGTTCTAATAAGAAGTCGAAGAACGAGAGTTTTGGCTAATTTGCTAGAAACTTCCAGCATTCTGCTGCGTAAAGCTACCGCTCAATCATGAAACCGCCTGCAGTTCCACGTACAGACTACCCGTCACATTAAGGTGTCGGAGAAGTTGCCGCATACGAAAGGCGCTCGAAACCCTCGATGTCGTGCGATTCTAAACAATGATGCGTGGAAACCAAATCCTCTTTCATCTGCATCCAGTGATCGAATTGGGAGACGGGATATCGCACGACCTCGAAATAGCGCAAACGAAGATCCTACGACCGGTGATAATAAAATTACGGAAAGGCAGTGTGGTCTGGGGGAAACGGGGTGTCACCCCCCCCCCCAATTTTAGGCACGGAGTACGCCTCACTACAGGAAGTATCTGAAAATTAAGTAGGAGTGCTATAAAGGTCTGACGGAACCCAAGTTCTTGAATCTGCTTGAACTTCCGATCTCTCTGAGGCGGGAAAGTCAGCCTCTTGAAGGAGCATCACACAGGAGCCGGCTAGTGGCGCCGCGGCTCGGCATGGAG